GTCGAGTATATACACGGAGGATTGTGTTTGTCTACTATCAAATGATACTTAACATTTTTTTTATAATATTTTAACATATTATGTGATTGATCCAAAATTACTGCACAATTAATAATAATAATCATAAATATTAATATAGACCAATCACAGAATGACACGTAAATAGTGTTAAAATGTTATTAAAAAATGTTGTGAAAGTATTATTATTCTTTAAATATTGATAGAGTGATGTAGATTGCGAGAGAATTTTTGGTATTAAAATATTGACATTTTTTAAGAAGTGGAATAAAAGTATAACCTTTTCAGGTTTATAAAAAGGATTCGTATAGGAGTGTTGTAAAATGGAATTTCCTTACCTTTAAATGTCAACTTATTAAAAAAGTTATATAATAATTGACTATAAATATACTTTTAAAAGAAGTTGGATAATAACTATACATATTTTTATGATTCTATAATTTCTTTCAGAAAGTTTATTCTTGGTATATTTTCATTTTTAAGCAAGTAATTTGAATTTCTTGTAACAAATGACTTCCAAGAATCGATAAAAAAACCAAAAAACTTAAATATCTCTGAAATTAGTTATACGAAGGGTTGTAAAATTAAAAGAAAAAAAAACCCAGAAATTGTTGTGTACTCCTTGGTTAACAGTGATTGTGCAGAATGTGTTCAATAATGGAGAGAACATGTTGGCTAGGGCAAGGAGAGTTTGCCTAGTCCACAGCCTCATCATTCTTATCAGTTTCAAATTGTTTGTCTGCATAATTCAGTTTCTGCATAATATTAATATTCGTTTTGGATTTGAAGTTTGAATTGCCCTTAGGAAAGAACCAAAGAAAAAGTTGAGAAAAAAGGTTAAGGCTGGCCCAATCTCTTTATTAAATTACCAATATTCCCGCAGATGGGTAACACCTTCCTTCAACTTTCATCAACACATAAAGTCTAACATCTATTGCTACCAAGTCTGCATTGCATTATTATCTGTCAAAAATTCAAATTCAAATTCATCAACAGATTTCATTGTTATTGTTTTTGTAGAATGAATTCTCATCTCAAAACTCTCATCATTGGTCACCATCACACTCACTTTGAGTTAAATTATATGTATCATCATAATCATGATCCTTTAGAATCTCAATCTAACTACTCTTTAGCATGAAAAGGGAAAGAAGAAAACAGTGAGGTTACTCTAGAAAAAGAGTAGAGTTTATGGGGTCGCATTACTAATTTATTGTTTTACAAAGTGTGTCTATATGACACATGGATTATAATTGGTTAATCATAACACATCGATTTGATTCATGAGTCCCTACCATGGATCTGTAGTCTCTGTTTCAGTTACCAGCTATCTGCTACAATGAACTTTTCAAAAGCTAATTAGATGGGATAGGATAAGTTAGCTTTGTGGCTTACTGCTTCTAAGCAAACAAAAAGACTCAAGAAATTTCAAGGTTTCTAAATTCAAATACGTACCTTTTCTCAGCTAGCTTCGTGCACAACCAACCTGAAAATGTTGTTTTAACAATTTTTTACGTAAGTGTGATCGATCCGTTTCAAATATTTGTAAAGAGTTAATAAAATAATGATAAATATAATATAATATATAATATGATATGATTATGTTATTTTACTTATGGATTTGCTTGCATTTGCATTGAGTGCAAGTTGTAGCTAGCTAATATTATGGTGAGAGAAACATATGGTTTGTGAGGAATATGGTTATTCCCCTTTGTTAGGGAAAAGTTGAAAATGTAGATGAAAAAGAAAAAGAAAAGTTAACATGGCTTCTTTATAAACGAGGAAAGTCACAAGAAGCATGCATTCTATTAACCTTTTTGTTGCTTCTCCTTTCCCCTCTTAAATAACAAGTAAAATTGTTGTTCGTATGAATTTGCCATGGCACTTTACAGAGTGATTTGTAGATGCAGTTTCACAGAAAGAATCCTTACGTTTACCATAAGCAAGTTTGAATGTTGGATTCATAATGAGGAAGGGAGAACATGCTCCCAACAGGACCAGAGTTTTTGGGGTCCATGGCCCAAAACAACATGCCCTTACACTTGTACCTCAACCAGAGAAAGTAATGATGCCCCTTATGCGCTGTTTCATATTGTTTGTGACAGAATCCACCATTCCCTTTTTTCACTTCTCTTTTACCTCTTCACACTTTCAACAATAATTCAACCATAACCTAACACACAAAACACCTATGTCAATTTACTTCTCTTTTTCACTTCAAACCAAATCAAATTTCAACTTTATGAAATTGGTTGTCACCTTTATGTAAAAAAAAAAAAATTTAAATTTTTTTTTACAAATCTCATTTGTTAAAAATGAAGTTTGTTCTCAATACATTCATGTGAGGAGGGTCACCGACATTTGAGACTAATAATATAAAGGATTAACCTACTCTCTACCCAAAACCTTAAAATAATGGATTAATAAATCTTTCATCTTTGTATAATGTTCTACTTTCTCATTTCTATCTAGTATGAGACTTAGACTCATACTTATATTTGTGATGATGATTTTAATATATAATTATCTGTTGGTCTAGTCTAGAAGCGGTGGTCAATCGATCGAAAAACAACTTTGCTTTGGATTTAAGAAATTTTCATTCTTTTTGGAGGAACAATTATACAATACAAAATAAGTTTTCTAAAAAAATAATTGAAACATAAACTTATCTCACAACCGTTTTTAATTCAAAACCTTAAAACAATAAATTTATAAATTTTCACAATTTTTATAAAATATTTAACTTTGTTATTTTTATTTATATTTAACGTGCACTTGTACTCCAACAGAGTACTTTATGTTTGGTTTGATAAAACTTCCGAAAAGTGTAACATGAGGGGATAGAAACTGGATGATCAGTTATGCTTTAATACTTCATGTGCTTGTGTTGATTGAAGTGCTCTTCTTTCCCAACCGAAACCACATGATGCTTTGTATTGTTCTGATGTAACGATTAGATCATAATGCTGATTAAGTTATTGGTACATAACTCCTTCATGCATCTATGGCTTCTTAAATATTTCTCATTGATGATGAGTTTATGTTGGGATGAGTTCAAAATCCAGATTTATTTTGTGGGACCAACATTCACTGTTGCATATTCATGCCACCTCTGTTCACTTTGCTGGTTTATTGCAAGAAACAGATATGGAGTTTTTGGTAGCAGAAAGAAAGAAAAAACAATGACATATTTATCCCAGCATACTTTTTCTCCCATGCTTTCCTAAGAAAACTTCTATTTAACGACTTTTTTTTTTTTCTTTTCTTAGTTTTTTCTTTTTACTGTATTAGATTAAATATGTTTTTAGTCCCTAAACTATTGGCCATTTCTAATGAGTTTCTAATGAGTTTTTTCTTAGATTAAATATGTTTTCGTCCCTCTTTCAAAGTAAGGTACAATTTGTTACTCATTCTTTTCGAAACGTTCGTTTTAGTCCTCAAAAACTAAACAATGTTTAAAAATTTGGTCCTCATTTAGCAACAAATGAGGACTAAAACTAAAATTCCGAAGACTAAAACGAACGTTTTGAAAAGAATGAGGACCAAATTGTACCTTACTTTAAAAGAGGGACAAAAACCAGAAACGACCAATAGTTTAGGGACTAAAAACATATTTAACCCTACTGTATTTTATAAAATATACTATTTTAGGTTATGTTGTTTTTTTAATATATTTTAAAACGTCAATATTTTTAAAATGTAACAGACAATATATATTAAAAAAAACTCATTAGAAAATTCAAATCTGTATTTAACAAAGTAAAAAATATTGTTTTTTTTTATTGAGTTATGTCTTTTATTTTTATATGGGAAGTGATAACCAATGTTGTAATAGTACTGATTAAAGAATTAAAAAAATTTATGGGGTATTTGGAAGAGTCCACAGATATTTAATAAATGGAATTAACGACACATTGGAGCTAAAACTTAATTAACATATAAGAGTTGACAAAGGAAACTTCCCAAAAAAAAAAAAAAAATAGTAAAATCCACTGCTGTCATCTCACGTTATTTCTCTGCTAAATATAAGGGTATAATGATTAACTACACATGATAAAACTGACTGATTTTTCAAATAAAGATATTCTTATAAGAAAGAATTAGTGAATTATCCTTTTTTTTATAAGGCTCAGTGATTATTGTTGAAACATAGTTGATATAATTAATTATATCACATTTTGTTCAATTTATATCTTTTTCAAAGTTATTCCTATCCTAACTAACACTAATGAGGGCATATTTTATTTTTTGAAATACTTATATTGATGTTAATTCTTGTAATCTCTTTCTTCATTAATAGATATTAAATTCAAAAAGCGGATCTTAATTAAATAAGTAATGCAAAGATTAATTTTAAATTAAGTTTTACAAAGTTATTGAAGTTAATTTCTAATGTGATTCTTGCAAAAATGAATGGAATGGAATGGAATGAAGGATGACTGAGTATGAGAATAAGTATGTAAGAAAAATATTAACAAGAGGAATTCATTTAAGTGTACTCTATTAATTTTTTAAAATAATATATATTTTAAATAAAGTAAAATAGAAAACAAAAAAACAGGTGAGAAAGGAACCAAAGGAGATTTCTCTCTTTTTTTTATTTTGACCAATATTTTAACAACTTATTATTTTAACCATAGATTATGTGTCATATTTGAAACGAATCCATCACGTTAATTATTATTAAAAAATTATTAAAAAAATTGTTAAAATTTTTTTTTTTATTAAGCTGATTCATTCTCATTTATGTCACTTTGATGTTTTCCATCTTTATCACTCATACCTGATGAGGCTAATAAATTGTTCATAACGTGTTTTATTTAATTGGAGTTATTTATTAATAATCATCAAACCCAAGACATGAACAATAAATAAACAGAAAAATAAAATAAAAAACCGGTGTTGAATTGAAACACACATGGTGAACTTTTTTTCTCTCATCTTTTTCTTTTCTTTTTAAATTGCAGTTTCAGCTGCTGGCAACTCAGATTAAAAAAGCACAGCACCAAGGTTTCTCTTTCCTCTCATTAGACGCACAATATTCTAAGAAGAGAGAGACATTGTGCCATGTTAAATGCAAAGTCTTCTTCCTCTGAATTTCCCCTTTCACAAACCCAAGACACATGAAAATGCAACCATAACCTCCATTTTTTCTCCGACCTCAGTTTCTCCAAAAACTTCAGATCTTTCTGTGAGAACTGAAAATCCCACATTGATCTTCGCTAGTTGAAACGTGAAAATGAGAGACTTTGTTACTTGCTTCAGCGAGAACGCTGTAGGCGTGTCTCATTCTTCAATCTCGTGTTCTTCTTATTCGAACAACGCATGCATCTCTCCCTCCAACGTTGCACCCTCCACCCAGAACTCTGTTTCCAGCGTCTACAAGCTTGTTCTCTCCACGTTAAAGCAAATTCTGGTCACAGTCTCATGGTGTAGGAGCCACTCCAACCAAGGACTCGCCATAACCTTCAACCACGAGGACCCTCCACCCTTTAGACTCAACACCACCAATTCACGTTTTTTCAGGAAGAAAAAGGGCACCAAAATCCTCGAACCCTTTTCTTCTGACTCGTCCAAGGTCGAAATTTTGTGGGATCTTTCAAACGCCAGGTACGAATCCGGCCCCGAACCCGTTCAAGGCTTTCACCTTGTGATCATCATTGACTCGGAAATTGGCCTGGTTCTCGGTGACACCGCTGAAGAAACAGTTCTTTCCAAGAAGCTCAATTTCAGAAGCAACAACATAAACACGGGTTTGGCTAAGGTTTCTCTTTTGTCACGAACAGAGCATTGTTCTGGGAGCACCCTTTACTCGACCAAGGCTCAGTTCTGCGACACCGGCACGTGCCACGATGTTATGATCAGATGCAGTATGGAGAAGGAGAATGAAGGGTTGTTCAAGTCACCGGTTTTGTGCGTGTGCATAGATAAGAAGACCGTGATTCGTGTGAAGAGGCTGCAGTGGAATTTCAGGGGGAATCAAACGATTTTCGTTGATGGGTTGCTGGTTGATTTGCTTTGGGATGTTCATGACTGGTTCTTCACCCCTTCTTCTTCTTCATCTTCTTCTGGGTATGCAGTGTTCATGTTCAGGACTAGGAGTGGCATGGATAGCAGGTTGTGGTTGGAGGAAAAGAATGCACAGAAAGATAAAGACAGGGTTGAATTCTCCTTGTTGATCTATGCATGTAAGACTACATAAAGGAACTCAAATTGTTCTTCTCATTCGCTTTTTCTTAACTTCTTTTTTCGTCTCTTTAGTTTTTCCTTGCCTTAACTCTTCTTTTCTTTCCTTTCCTCTCGTAAGGAAACATACCCTTTTTTTCTAAGAGAAACACAATAATTTTCAGCATCAGAAGTTTTAGTTATACAAGAAAAAATTGTATTTTTCTCCCTAGTTTAGTTTGGTGTCGAAACTGTCAAACTCTGGCAAACCATCTTTGATATATCTGTCATGTAATTTAGAATCCATAACCTTTGAACTCGAAATTTCCATCGGAATCATCCAATCCCCAAGACTAGGTCCACTCTATCAAATTAACAACTACAACTTATTATCTTATCAGTCATTGTAATTTGTAAAATGCTGTCGTTTTTCTGACCCGTTTGGAGCTGATTGTGTTATAATGTTGAATTGGTCTTCAACTGAACATGAGCATGAAGCAGTAGGAAAAAGGTCCAAGTTTTATTCTTTTCTGGTTTATGACTTGGACACAGACGAAATTCAGCTAAAAGGGTAATAATGGAAGAGTTTGATTGTCATGGTTAAATTGGCAAGCCTTTTATGGGAAACAAAGTTAAAAGAGTATTGTGAGTGGAAATGGAATGAAGCATATCTTGACCAGTCTTCTCTCCTTGGTCTTTACGATTCTGTTCCTCACTGTAATGTTTGGTTGAAAGATGAAAACTTGATTTTGATGATAACCGTTGAAGTATAATAAATAAAGGGGAAGATAGATGTTACACGACAGGGTACGATGTGGATCTTTCTTAGCATTTGGTTGCGATAGCACTTTATTTAAAACCTTAAAAGTGTAAGTGAAGTGTTTGCAAAGGATTTAAGCATGGATTAGTTCCGCGATAATGATACTTTCAAAATATTTTTTTTTACAATATGTACATATTATTTCGTGGGTGGTCCAAAATTATTATACAATCAATAATAATAATCACAAATATCAATATGAATCAATCAATAATACATAAATGATGTTAAAATATTGTAAAAAATTATTGTCAAATTATCATTATCTTGAAAGGAAAAAGAAGGTTTGGTTTGGTCGGGTCACTTTCATTCGAAAATGATTCAAAGGGAGGAAGCTACAAGATTTTAAATGTTGGGTTTGTCTTTACTGAGGTGGTGGAACCTTTGATTTTGCATCATGGTCTATTCCTCTGTCCTGAGATGCCTTGGCATGTGTTTATGGCTCTTGGTCCCTCCAAAGTTCCACTTCACTCTCTCAACCCAATCATCCTCATCACCTACTTTCTCTATGCATGCGTTATAAAAGAGATGCAAAGTGGGTGACAAATGATACAGTTCATTTGGATAAAACCAGTTTCAAATGAAACATTTATACTTTTATATGAAATTCCAATTTGAAGATTGAATATAATTTTAGTTTTTATATTTTTATGCAAAATTAAAATTTATTTTTTTCTCAAATTTTGATAGAGTTTAGTCTTCCAAACGTTAAAAATAAATAAACATGATTCTTCTAGCATGACATAGGTCATTTGAATTATTTATATCGTTAAATTAAAAAATATTAACTAGAAACATAGTTTAACATCTAATCAATTTAATATCATTAAATTAAAAAAATTATATTCATTTATTTTTAAAATTACAAATATAAGGTTAACTTCATATAATTCATAAAGGAAAATTTTATGTAAATCTTTCCTTTTATGAGTGATGAGTTTTGTTTGTTATATACCTTAGACTTTTCATATTAAAGTTTAAAAATTACAAATATAAGGTTAACTACGTATAATTTATAAAGGAAAATTTTATGTAAATCTTTCCTTTTATGTATGATGAGTTTTGTTTGTTATATACCTTAGACTTTTCATATTTTTCATATTTGAAGTATTATCGGTAAACTATATGTATTTTTATGGCTTTGTTTGTTTTTTAGAAAGTATAAATATGTGTTTGTGAAATTTAAACGGCTTTAATTTTTAAATAACTGTGACACTTGTAAATGAGATAACTAGTTAAATAAAAAAATGATTTTTAGTAATTTCTTTAAGAAAACCAAAGGAAATGATAAATATGTAACAAAAATGAATGAAAAAATGGGTTTGGAAAAGGTAAACAAGTGATATATATACCAAGATTTTTTATAATACATTTTGTTAGACCCATAAAAACCCCAACTTAGTGGAGTACATGTGTAAGCGAAAGGGATGTCTGAAATTCAGAAAGTAGAAGATAGGTGTGTGATGAAGTTTGGATGAACGGTTTTAACGGTAGGAGTAAAACTGAAACTTTCAAATTTTCGTGCCACTTCTCTGCATGCACCATTCATCTTCAACCTTCTGAATCTCCTCCTTCTCTCTACCATCTCCACCTTCTCTCTAAGAAAATCTCATCTTTTCTTCTTCCGATCACCTCTCAGGCACCGTTTGAACTCTCCCGGCGTTAAGGGCTTTCGTTTAAACCGATCGAGTTGTGGCTCTAAGCCAGTGAGTTACTTTCTCCTTAGCACGTTCGTTTCTTTTCGCATGAAAACCCAGATTTCTGGTTGCTTGAGCGGATCATCTTATTCTGAGTATTTCTGGTCTTCTGTTTGGTTCAGTTTCTTAAAGCGTGATTGTCAAACGTTAAGATCTTTGGTAGTGGTGAGCTATATTCTGCATCTGTGAGCGTTCGGTTACGTTTAGAGGTAAGGGAAGCTTATATAATTTGATTAAGATTCTGTTTTGAATGGTTGTATGTTTGTATGATACTTTGTTTGATTATTTGATGAATATGAAGTATTCGTGTTACTGCATGTTTGGATGTGTGGATGAATGATTGATAAATGGTGTGAACTGAGTTCAAATAGGTTTTGATATTCAAACTGCAGTATTATGAGTAAATGCTGTAAGTATGGTCGAGCGTCATTCGTGATCGTTCGATTCTTCATGGAAGTGTATGGTTTTAATTGATTTCTCATGTTTTAGGGATATTGTCTGAGAGTCATTCTGTAATACTCTGTAGAATTATGTAAACTGTAACCGAGAGTCAGTATTGGTCGTTCAGTTTTCCTTTCAGCGTCCATCTAAACTAAATTCTTCTTCTGGAGAGAATTTCGTTCATGAAGATCATTTTATAACATTAGATATATGTAAATGAGCGTTCGGCCTAGGTGTAGTTCTCCTTTAGGTTTCCTAAACAGTTTAGTTAATGTATTCTATACTACTTAAAATCGTAGATGATATCGTTATTTTTCATTAAAAATAAGGGTGGCGCAATTGTGTGTATATATATATATATATATATATATATATATATATAGAGCTGGAAACAGCACACGTGTGAACACCACACAC